GTGATCTGGAACTCCCTGCCTGCTGACATGGCTGCCGTCAGCTCCCCCAGCCCTCTCCCTCCTTTCTCAGCTTTCTCCCCGAGATGGGAGGGGCTGGAGAGGGATGAGGAGAAGGCTGCTGTCCACCCTCCTTGCAGGAGGGTTTCTGGCATTTGTGAGGCACTGGTGCCCTAGGCCTGGTCTGTACACACGTGGGATCTGGTGGCACGTGGAGGTGGGACACTGGCAATAGGCCACACTTCAGCCTGACTGGTGATGGCTCCCCTGTTAGTTTCCCACCAGAATAGGGGAAGAGCTGATGCCCCAACAGGGAAACTGGAGCCCAGAAGTGTCTCAGGTCCCCAGAGAGGTAGGCTGACAACCCACGCACCTGTCTCCACACCAGGCAGGCCAGGGAGGCGGTGTGGGGGGTGACACAGCGCAGGCAGACTCAAATTCAAATCCTGCTGTCCCTTCTAGCTGGTGTGCCCCGGGAAAGTGCTCTGTCTCTCTTGGCTTTGGCTTTCTCTTTGGATAACACTACTTATCTCCTAGGGTCAGAGGATTCGGGGGGTGATGTACCTCCTGGGGAGCCAAGTGGGTTCCCCCAAATGCCCATTCTCCTCTCCCCACTTGTTGGGGCCCCAGGCTCAGGGGTCTTACTTTGTCCTCCCTCTCCCCAGAACTGCATGAACTTGCCCCCGGACAAAGTCCAGCTGCTGAGCCAGTATGACAACGAGAAGAAGTGGGAGCTCATCTGTGATCAGGTAGGTGCCAGCACTGCCCAGCCACCCCTTCCCTCCCACTGTCAGCACCCAGCCCTGACCAGGCTGGGGCTATGGGGAGAGGGGCACCGCCATACTGCCCATAGGACCAAGACTCTGCTCAGTGGCCAATGTAGCACCTGGGGAGGGTACTGAGGTCTGCAGGACTCCCGAATCCCCTTCTCTTGAACTCCCCAAAAGAACTTGTGAGTCATGAGCAGGGCCGGGTCAGCTTCAGAGGAGCTGGCAGGGCTGGTTCAGGGGCACCGGCCGGGGCAGCTGGGGCCTTGTCACTGTCACTGTCCTCCTTCTGAGCTTCCTGAGAAACCTCTCTGGACTGGGGAAGGGAGAGGGCAACCCTGGGGTTGGACATCTTCACCTGACCCCATGGGAGGGAGGGGGGAAGGGCGGGAATTCCTGCCCTTTTACCTTGGGTCCAGAGGAGCTGCAGTCCACCAGCAACTCCCCAAGGCCAGCCACTTTGGACCCCTGCTTTGGTGCTCTGTCCAGGCGCCTGGGCTCACGGGTCACTCAGCTGCCCCCGCCTCTCCAGCTTCAAGGGCTGTGGTCAGCCATGGGCAGACCCTCTCCCAGCGCCAGGCTGGGTGGGGCTCGGCTACTGCAGGGATTCTGTGAAGGAGGGAGCTGCAGAGGCTGGGGGTGGGGAGGGAGCTGAGAGCCTCCCCTGGGAGCCAAGGCTGGGCCTTCGCCTCCTGCTAATGAAGCAGATGGCCTGGGCTGGCTGGGCAGCAGTCCAGGGGTAAGGGCTGGGCAGTGGGAAGAGGGTGGGGAGCTGACCCTGGAGGCTCTGGGGCTGTGATAGGGGTCCCCTCGGAGCAGCTCGGCCTGGCATCTCAGAGGTTGGGGGCTCAAAGGGCTGGAAGAAGTGAAAGTCTGAGGGGTGGCTTGGTGAATCTGAGGGGTTTGGGTTGGAAGGGTGGGGGCCCCTCTGGGGAGGGGGTCTTTGCCGTGGTCCCTGCCTCTTTGTTTCAGTGGCCGCTGGAGCCTGCAGTGGGGTGGGGGAGTTAGGAATTGCATCGCTGAGCACAGGAGAGGAGCACACAGGGTCCTGCCAACGCAGGACTAACCCTGCATAGTCCACCCCAAAGCTGTGTCAGGGCTGTGGCCTGGGAGGCCATCTGGGAAGGGCAGACTAGGCCTAGGCTGGGGGTCTTTAAAGTGGCCCGATGCTAGCTGGGTGTGGTGGTGCACACCTGTAGTCTCAGCTACCTGGGAGGCTGAGGTAGGAGGATCGCTTGAGCTGGGGAGTAGGAGGCTGCAGTGAACTATGATGGTGCCACAGCACTCCAGCCTGGAGCACAGGGCAAGAAAAGAGAAAGATAACATAAAAGCAAAGAAAGTGGCTTGGTGGACTGTTTGGGTTTATACCTTTGGTATTTCAGAGGCGTCTTAAGAAAGCCTGGGACCTCAGATCAGAGCTGAGAATGGAACATTGGGACGAGAACTGGTCATTTGCCCTGGGGTAGCTCTGGTTGGTTTTCTGTACGCCCCATTCCATCTCCCCAGGAGCGGTTTCAAGTCAAGAACCCCCCTGCAGCCTACATCCAGAAGCTGAAGAGTTATGTGGATACTGGTGGGGTCAGCCGAAAGGTAGCAGCTGATTGGATGTCCAACCTGGGGGTACATGTCTCCCCTCTTTTCTCTGTCCCTTTCCCCCACCTTTTCCAAGCTCTGGACAGCTGGAGTAACTGTGTGTACAGACTTTTCTATGTGCATGTGTGAGTGCATGTATGAGTATGTGTGTGTGTGTGTTCGTGTGTGTCTGTGTATTTATAGGAGACTAAGAGTGCCCTGGGCGTGCCCTTTAGACATTCCCCTGTGCATCCTGTGTGTGCTTACATGGACACATTTTGTGTACTTATACTGTGTGTATACATATGTGCAGCCCATATGTCCATATGTAGGTGTGTGTGTATACTATGTGTGTATTTTGTCCACTTATGGATGTGTGTGTGTGTGCACCCTTGAGTCCGTATACAGGAGAGAGAGAGAATGTGTGTGTGTCCATGTAGGGATGTGTGGACATCCTATGTTTGTATTTAGAGTGCATGTATATGGATGTTCATGTAGTGTGTGTGTGTGCACGCACACCCTGCCTCTTTGAGTGTGTGCATGTATCAGGGGTGTGTGTGCCCTGTGTGTCTGTGTATGGGGGAGCACACGCAGCCTGTGAGTTCTTATTCTGCTAGGCAGGTGTGTGGAGGTGGTGGGGGAGGCTGAGCATGAAAGGCCACTTGTGCCAGTCGGAGGAGGGTGGGCGCTGCTGCCTGCTGCCTCAGGACTTGGTGGGCCTGTGGGAGGCTGGGCTCCACCCACCAGCCTTCCCTCTTCTCGGTCCCCAGTTTAAGAGGCGAGTTCAGGAGTCCACCCAGGTGCTTCGGGAGCTGGAGACCTCCCTGAGGACAAACCACATTGGGTGAGTGAGGGCTCAGATCTTCCTCTCTGGGACTAGGAAGGCTCTGCTTCCAGGCAGCCCCTGGAGCTTCCCCTTCCTACTCCCCCTGCCCCCCACACAGGGCTGTGCTTGTGGACCACCTCCTGGGGGTGTCCAGGACAGCTTCCCCTCCCTCTCCTGCCCATGCTCTGACTGGCACCTTGAGGCATGGCTGGGCTGTGGGACCCACCTAAGTCTCCCAGAATCCCCTGGTATCATTGGGTCTTTGGGGGTTGAAAGGGCACGCCAGGGGCCCTTGCTGTCCCTGTTCTGTGCCCATCGGGGGCAGGACCTCCTTCCTCGCTGGAGCTCAGGGAGCCCTGTGCCCACAGGTGGGTGCAGGAGTTCCTCAACGAAGAGAACCGCGGCCTGGATGTGCTCCTCGAGTACCTGGCCTTTGCCCAGTGCTCTGTCACGTAAGCCTCCTGCCCCTAGGCCTCATGCCACTCCTCAGAGCTTTGACCCCCGTCTCCCTGCGTCTCACCCACTCCCCTGGCCAGTTCCAAGCCGGGCAGCCCGAGTCTACCCTGGAACCCTGCATTTGGCCTTGAGCGATGCCCCTTCCAGAAGCCTTTCCCTGACAGGGAGGGGTGGCCTCTCTTCCACCACAATGTTCAGCACAGTGCCAAGAACACAGCCTCCTCCTCCTGCTCCTTAGTCTCACCTGCAGGTCTGTCTCTCCTTGCGTTTCTTCTGCCCCCTCTTAAGTGGTCCTTGCAGTGTTGGCCTCCAGCCCCATTGCATCCTGTCCCCAGGTATGACATGGAGAGCACAGACAACGGGGCTTCCAACTCAGAGAAAAACAAGCCCCTGGAGCAGTCGGTGGAAGACCTCAGCAAGGGTCCGCCCTCCTCTGTGCCCAAAAGCCGCCACCTGACCATCAAGTATGTGGGCCACAAGGTGGGGTCGTGGGAGAACAGAGAATTCAGCCCCCACACTGCTGCATCTAGCCAGCCCACCCAGGGCCCTTGGGGTTGGTGAGAGGGGTAGCCAAGCATTAGGGGTCAGAGTAAGGGACTCATACAGAGTTTGGGGCACCAGTATGTTAAGAAGCCATCAGGGGTGGGGCTGGGTGCCGTGGCTCATGCCTATAATCCCAGCACTTTGGGAGGCTGAGGTGGGCAGATCATTTGAGGACAGGAGTTTGAGACCAGCCTAGCCAACATGATGAAACCCCATCTCTACTAAAATACAAAAATTAGCCGGGTGTGGTGGCGCATGCCTGTAATCCCAGCTACTCAGGAGGCTGAGGTGGGAGAATCGCTGAAGCCCAGGGGATGAATGACGCAGTGAGCCGAGATCGCGTCACTGCACTCCAGCCTGGGTGACGGAGTGAGACCCTGTCTAAAAAAAAAAAAAAAAAAAGGAAAGAAAAAGAAAAAAGAAGCCATCAGGGGTGGGCACCTAGAAGTTGGAGTCTGGATGGGTCTGGGATAAGAAGGGAGCTTCTGGGTTGCTGGGACCCCTCTTGTATGCATCTAATCCCCTGTTTTCTCCCATGCGGCCTCCAGGTGTCCCCCTTCTCCCCGGTACGTAGCCACCTAGGGGCAGGTGCATGCCTGGCTGACTCCTTCCCAGGGTGGTGGCGGGGTAGGATGAGGTATTCAGCTGATGTCCCTGGGTTCAGTACTGTGGCTGGGTCCCTCCATCCTAACATGGGCATCTTGCTGGGAGGCAGGAAGCAGGCAGTAGATTGACCCTAGAGCATCTTGTGGATCCCCAGCTTCCTACTTTGGGTCTAGGGGGTTGATTGCATATTAAGCCTCAAACTTTCACAATATGTTATTTGTCCATTCATGCAATTATGCATTCAACAAACATTTATTTTTTAGCACTTAGTATGTATGAGATGTGTGGCAGGTGCCCACGAGACAGGTCACTCTGCCCTCAGGGACCCACAGTCTAAGTGGGGGACAATTTAGTGTGACAGGCTGTCATGGAATTGTGCCTGGGAGCTCTGAGAAGGGAGGTGGCCACCACTTGGGGCATCAGGAAGGCTTCCCAGAAAAGGTGACACTGGCACTATGTCTCACAGACAGATACAGGCTTTATAGGCAGCCATGGGAACAGGGAAGGGCATTCCAGGCAGAAGGAACAGCATGAACAAAAACTCTGACATATTAGCACAATGACGGGAAAGGGTGATGTGGCAGGAGCGGGTGAAGGCGGGGCCTCCCGCTGTTACTGGGAATGTGATAGAATCGTCAGGGAGACTGACATGTGGAAGTCCGGGTCGGCAGTTCTGCAACAATGAAAACATCACACATTTGTTGGCGAAGAATAAGGGAGTACAGTCATATAGCACTTACTATGTGCCAGGCACTGTTCTAAGCCCATTTCATAGTCCCAACAACTCTGACAGGAAGCTACTATTATTAGCATTCCTATTCTAGAAGCGAGGAAAGTGAGGGACAGGGAGATTAAGTGACTCGTCTAGTAAATGGTGAGCTGGGATGCTCCTGAACCCTGGCGGCGTGAATTCAGATCCGCCTCTCACATTGGAAGATGAGCCCAAGTGGCCATGAGCGCCACCTTGTGGTGATCCTTCCCATGTTTCTTCCTTCTGTAGGCTCTCGCCCTACCAAGCCCCTGGGAAGTGTCTTTGCTTCCTGTGACCCCCATCCTCCAAGCATGCCAGAGCCCAGGTCTAGCTTCCGTGTCCCCCATCCTCCAAGCATGCCAGACTCCAGGTCTAGCTTCCGTGTCCCCCATCTTCCAAGCATGCCAGACCCCAGGTCTAAGGACTGAGGAAGCCTACCTCCCCTCAGCCAGCCTCTTTGGTTGGGTGGACGGGATGTGGTGCCGTCAGGTTCCATATGTACCTCCTCTTACCCCAGAGGCCATCTGAGTGGTGGGGGAACAGGAAGCTGGGGCTCACTCTGACCCCTGCTGCCTCCTCCACACCCCGCCCAGGCTGACCCCCGCCCACAGCAGGAAGGCCCTGCGGAATTCCCGCATCGTTAGCCAGAAGGACGACGTCCACGTCTGCATTATGTGCCTGCGTGCCATCATGAACTACCAGGTCAGCCGGGGGGTGTGGGACTGGGGGACTAGAGAGCCCAGCCTGTCCTCACTGGGGGCTACACAAGCTGCCGAGGCTCTGGGATCCACTGTCCCTTTACCCTGTGCTGTGCTGGGGAACTTGTGCATCTGGGCTGTTGGCTCGGACTTTTAAGGCTGATGCGTCTTGAGGGGAAGCCCATGTTTTTGCTGCCTCTGTCAGGTTCTCTGAGTACCCCTGCCCATGGCTGGGACATGAAGGAGCCTCACATAGGGACAGGGCACACCTACCAAGAAGGGCTGGACAGAGGGCCAGGGGAGAACAGTCTCAGGTCAATTCATTTGGAGGTCTGATGGGTGAAGCCGGGCCCTCCTTTACTTAGCCAGCCTTTAAGACAGCTTCACGGTGTCCAAGGTGCGTGATGCTGGCTTTTGGAAACACAAAGGTATTTTAAAAAGAGGCCAGGTGCAGTGGCTCATGTCTGTAATCCCAGCACTTTGGGAGGCCAAAGCAGGAGGATTGCTTGAACCCAGGAATTCGAGATCAGCCTGGGCAACATACCGAAACCCCATCTTTATGAAAATAAAAAAATAAAAAATAAATAAAGAGAGGCCAGGTGTGGTGGCTCATGTCTGTAATCCCAGCACTTCGGGAGGCCGAGGCGGGCAGATCACCTGAGGTCAGGAGTTTGAGAACAGCCTGGCCAATATGGCGAAACCCCGTCTCTACTGAAAAAAATACAAAAAAAATTAGCTGGGGGTGTGGCAGGTGCCTGTAATCCCACCTACATGGGAAGCTGAGGCAGGAGAATCACTTGAACCTGGGAGGCAGAGGTTGTGGTGAGCTGAGATGGCACCACTGCACTCCAGCCTGGGTGACAGAGGGAAACTCCATTTTGAAAAAAAAAAAGAGAGAGAGAAACAAGGCCAGGTTTTGGTGGCCACAGAAGAAGTTGCAGTTGGATATGAAGGACTTCCTAAACTCGAGGGCAGTTAAAGATCAGTGTGGCGTGGCACTGACTCTGCTGGGGTGCCTGAAGTCCTGGGGTCCCTTCCTGGAGACACTGACTTCTCCTCTCTCCCCAGTCTGGCTTCAGCCTTGTCATGAACCACCCAGCCTGTGTCAATGAGATTGCTCTGAGCCTCAACAACAAGAACCCCAGGTGAGGTCCAGGCCCCAAACCTTTCCCATATCTAGAATCTTCTCCTACTTAGCCCCTTGCTTACTCTGTCCTCCAGGTCTCAGAGGCTCATTCCGCACCCGCTATGCTCCTCCTAGGCAGGCCTGTGCCCACCCTTGCTGCGGGTCCTGCCTGTTCTTAAGGGACAACCTGCCCCTTCTCTCTGTAGAACCAAGGCTCTGGTGCTGGAGCTGCTGGCGGCCGTGTGCTTGGTGCGGGGAGGACATGACATCATCCTTGCAGCCTTTGACAACTTCAAGGAGGTACCGGAGTCCCTCACCCAAACATGCACTTCCCCCTATGGTGTTGCTTGGAGTCTTGTTGTTGGCAGCTGTGGCCTTTGGTGGAGGCAGCTGGGGACACTGGGTGGGCATTTGGGGAACGCCCAAAAGTTGAAGTTGAGCCACATCACTGGCTTAACAATCTGGGATGGGGAAGTTCTGAATGGAAGGTGCAGGGTCAGGTAAAGGCACCACCTGGGTGGGGGCAGGGACGACTACAGGGACCTGCTGAACCTCTGACTCAGCCTTGCCAGATTCAAACTAGCCTTGGTTCATACCTTCAGGAGTTGTGGACTCTGGCTAACAGGCTTGCAAGAAGTAGATGTGTGGGGATGCATAAGATGCAGAAGATATCGTCATTCATTCATTCGTTTAATGAATATTTATTGAGTGCCTGGTATGTGTCAGGAACCGGGCACCTGGGGCACATCAGTGAACAAAGGAAACCAGACAGGAAAGGACAGAAACGATGTAAATTACATAGTATGTTAGGAAATGATAAATGCTGTGAGAAAAAAGCCAGCAATGTTTCAGAGGGAGGGGGACAACATACTGAAACCCCATCTCTATGAAAATAAAAAAATAAAAAATAAATAAAGAGAGGCCAGGTGTGGTGGCTTATGTCTGCAATCCCAGCACCCTGGTTGCAGGGTGATCAGGGAAGGCCTCACTGAGAAGTGAGATTTGAGCAAAGCTGTGAAGGAAGCAAGGTACTTGGTGTGGAAGTGAGGGCTCTCCAGGGAGTTGGAACAGTAAGTGCAAAGGCCCTGGGGTGGGATGCCAGTGTGGCTGGAGTGGAAAAAGTGAGGGGGAGTGGGAGATTGAGAGAGAGTGGAGGTTTTGAGCAGGAGAGTGACGTGGCTCAACTTCGAATTAACTGGAAAGGAGCCTGTTGAATTAAGTGGAACAGGTGTGGCAGCCAGAAGGTAGCTTAGGACGTGTGTCACTGGGCCTCAGTGAGAGCCATTCCCTTTACCCAGGTGTGTGGGGAGCAGCACCGCTTTGAAAAGCTGATGGAATATTTCCGGAATGAGGACAGCAACATCGACTTCATGGTGAGCTGAGGAGCCCAGCAGCCTGAGGCCTGGGCCAGGCCCTCTTGGGTGCACGGAGCAGCTAGGGTCCTGGGTGCTGGGCAATGGGCTCTGCCCCAGCAAAGCATAAAGACTGAGTGGTCAGTAGGGGAAGGGTGGATGTTGGCAGGGGGCTGGATTGAGGGAACATGGAGGTGAAATGTTGGGCAGGCCAAGGCTGGGAGTTAGTGGAGTGAGAACTGTGGAGAAGGAGGGAGGCTTGGGGTAAGTGGAGGTGGAAGGCACTGAGCAACGCCACCTAGAGGATCATAGATCTGCCCATGTCCCTGGCTCCCAGGTGGCCTGCATGCAGTTCATCAACATTGTGGTACACTCGGTGGAGAACATGAACTTCCGTGTCTTCCTGCAATATGAGTTCACCCACTTGGGCCTGGACCTGTACTTGGAGGTAAGCCCTGTACTGCCCCCCAGACTTAACTGCCTGCCCGCTGCAGAGTATGGCTGAGTGGTTAGCGGCACGGGTGCTGGGGTCAGGCAGACCTGGGTTTAAATCCTGGCCCTGCCATTTCCTGCCATGTGACCTTGGATAGGTCTCTTCCTCTCTCTGAGTATCAGTTTTGCCATCTGTCAAATAGGAGAATCATAGAAGATAATCTTGACTCTAAATGCATAGACCAGTGCCTGGCACATACCAGGCCCCCAGTCTGTGGAATTATTTTTGCAGGCACCAGAATAGGTCAAGGTGGCCCAGGGTCTGGCTCTGGGAGCACCAGCCTCAGACAGGTGCTCTGACTCCAGGACGTAATGGGGAATCCAGAGATACAGGGTGGAAGCAGGAGTTGGCTCATGCTGGATGGGCCCAGGACATGGAGAAGTTCCTTGCCCTGGGGAAGGTGGGCAGAGCAGCTTGGTGCTTCCTGGCCCAGCCTGAGCAGAGAAGCTGCAGCTCCTTCTCTGCTTCTTTTAGGAGGTTTCCTGGAGGAGCGGGGCTTTCGGGGTTGGATTTTTGAAAGCCAGGATTAAGAAAAAGTAGAGAGCAGACTGGCGGGGGGTCTATCCATACAATGGAATATTATTCAGCTACAAGAAGGAATGAAGTATTGACACATGCTACAACATGGGTGAGCCTTGCAAACATGCTAGGTGAAAGAAGCCAGACACAAAAGGTCACACACTCTATGATTGCTGCTTCTTTTTTTTTTTTTTTTTTTTTTTGAGACGGAGTCTTGCTCTGTCGCCCAGGCTAGAGTGCAGTGACACGATCTTGGCTCACTGCAATCTCCACCTCCCAGGTTCAAGTGATTTTTCCAGTCTCCCGAGTAGCTGGGATTACAGGCACCTGCCACCATACCTGGTTAATTTTTGTATTTTTGGTAGAGACAGGGGTTTCACTATGTTGGCCAGGTTGGTCTTGAACTCCTGACCTTAGGTGATCCACCTGCCTCAGCCTCCCACAGTGCTGGGATTACAGGTGTGAGCCACCTCGCCCGGCTTTCTATGATTGCTTCATATGAAATGTCCAGAATGGGTAAATCCATAAAGATGGAAAGTAGATTAGTGGTTGCCAGGGACTGGGGGAGGAGAGAATGGCAAGTTACTGCTGACGCCTGTGGGGTTTCTTTTTGGGCTGATGACAATGTTCTGGAATTAGATAATGGTGATGGTTGCACAACCTTGTGGCTATACTAAGAATGACTGAATTGTATACTTTAAAATGGATTTTATGATATGTGAATTATATCTTAAAAAATAAAGAAAGAGTGGGCTAGGGCTCAGGCCCCTTCCTCTGGGTGGCAGTGGTGGTGGGGGGTTTGGAAAGACTCCCTCCACACGCACACCAGGCCTCACCCTGCTCCTTCCATCTGGGGGACAGAGGCTTCGGCTTACCGAGAGTGACAAGCTGCAGGTGCAGATCCAGGCGTACCTGGACAATGTTTTTGATGTGGGGGCGCTACTGGAGGACACAGAGACCAAGAACGCTGTGCTGGAGCACATGGAGGAACTGCAGGAGCAGGTGGCACTGGTGAGAGTGGGTCCTGACCCCAGCCTGGCACATCAGAGGCCCACAGGGCACACGCAGGCATGGGCACTGGGCAGCAGACAGTGTTCTAGTTGTGCATTGGACGTGCTGCCTGCCTGGCCCCAGAGCCTGGCCTGAATCCAAAGCCTGAATCTGTTGGGTGTCTTTCTCAATGAGTGTGGGTGAGTGCCCTCACTGACAGGCCCCTCCTCTACCCAGGCTCAGTCCCCAGATGAACTGAACTGGGTGCCTGGGGCCCCTCCCAGCTCAGTCTCCTCCTCTCCCTCCACCTCCCGCATCACTGGTACCTTGGTTTCCTCTCCTTATTTGCTTGGGTTCGAGTGCCAGGCTCGGCCCACCCTTGGCACCTGGCTGAGCGGATCTGGGAGCCTCCCCCAGTCTTCTAGGCAGGCATGCCTGATGCCGCCCCCTCACCGGCGGTGCCAGTGCCGGGCTGCGGGTCGGGGCTCACCATGTGCCGGTGCTACAGCTGACAGAGCGGCTTCGGGACGCGGAGAACGAATCCATGGCCAAGATTGCAGAACTGGAAAAACAGCTAAGCCAGGCGCGCAAGGAGTTGGAGACCCTGCGGGTGAGGCTGGGGCGGGTGGTGGGCCGGGCACCCAAGAACAGGCCAGCTTCGGCTTCTAGGCTTGACATCTCCCTCCACCCCGGGAAGAGGATGGGGATTTGGTGCCAAGGAGCCTGCTGGTGGGCACTGACCCCTCCCGTGGGGTTCGCAGGAGCGCTTCAGCGAATCGACCGCCATGGGCGCCTCCAGGCGTCCCCCCGAGCCTGAGAGAGCACCTCCCGCTGCCCCGACGCGGCCCTCGGCCCTGGAGCTGAAGGTGGAGGAGCTGGAGGAGAAGGGGTTAATCCGTATCCTGCGGGGGCCGGGGGATGCTGTCTCCATCGAGATCCTCCCCGTCGCTGTGGCAACTCCAAGCGGCGGTGATGCTCCGACTCCGGGGGTGCCGACCGGCTCCCCCAGCCCAGGTGCGCAGGAGCTTCAGGCTGGCGGGGATGCGGGGCATGGTCTGGAGGGGAGCCCAGGGGCATCTGTGGCGGGCAGAGTTGGGCGAGGGAGGTTTGGATTGTAGGCTCGGCTCAGGTAGAAGCGCATGCGTAGAGCGGGGAGGCGGAGAGGAGCCCACCCAAGCCAAGGAGCTGACTCGCACCTCCCCCCGCCCCGCCCTCGCTGGCTCAGATCTCGCACCTGCAGCGGAGCCGGCTCCGGGAGCAGCGCCGCCGCCGCCGCCCCCACTGCCCGGCCTCCCCTCCCCGCAGGAAGCCCCGCCCTCGGCGCCCCCACAGGCCCCGCCTTTCCCTGGCAGCCCGGAGCCCCCGCCGGCGCCGCCGCTGCCCGGAGACCTTCCGCCCCCACCCCCGCCACCGCCACCGCCACCACCTCCGGGCACTGACGGGCCGGTGCCTCCGCCGCCGCCGCCTCCGGGAGGTCCTCCTGATGCCTTAGGAAGACGCGACTCAGAATTGGGCCCAGGTAAGTGGAGTGGACCACCTTGGGCCCGGGGCTTGGGGGAGATGGAGGGAGGGACCTGGGCCGCAGTGTCCTCCAGAGTCTTCTGCCTAGGGGCTCCTGCTGCCTCCTGGCTGGCCCATCAGCCCTCCCTGGGCCCAGGTTCCCTCCAGTACCCCCAGTGCTCACCACTCCTCCCAAACCCCCGCCCGTCCCAGGAGTGAAGGCCAAGAAGCCCATCCAGACCAAGTTCCGAATGCCCCTCTTGAACTGGGTGGCACTGAAACCCAGCCAGATCACGGGCACCGTCTTCACAGAGCTCAATGATGAGAAGGTGCTGCAGGTGAGTGGCCCTGCCTGGCTCCGCATATGGGCACTGGAGTAAGAGGGGAGTTGCCTGGATCAGGCTGGGCACTGGGGGTAGTCGTTTTCTCCAAGTCATTTCACAGATGAGCTGGGGGAGGCCCAGGGATGGGCATTAAGCCAGACTGGACCCATACCTCTAACAGGCAGAATCCTGCCTTCCCAAACGCCTTCCCCTCCATCCCTGCAGAGGGGTGCATCCCCCCCATCCCACTCCTTCTGCCTCCAGGCCTCTTTCCTCCCACTTTCCCACAGGCAGCCAAGGCTTCAGCCCTCCTGATTCCACTTCCAGTTTTCCAAAAGGATGTGTTCTCTTGCCTGTAGGCCATTGTTGCCATTGTTCCATTCTGTTCCCTCTGCTGGAATGTCCTTTCCTTTTTCCTTTTTACCACTGGCCAGTTCAGCTCTTCCTTTAGCTGTCCTGGCCCCAAGTCTGGGTGCCCCCCGTTAGGCGGCCCTCCTCCTCCAGGCTCCCTGTGCTTCCCCTGTGCCTCCCATCAGGGCCTGTGGTCAGGCTGGGTTACTGGTTCTTTGCTGGTGGCCTGGTCAGGGCCAGATGGGTGGCTCTAGCACTGTGCTCAGCCAGGAGAGTGCCAGACCCTGCCCCACCCAGCCCCACCTCCTCACCGTGTACCCTCAGGAGCTGGACATGAGTGACTTTGAGGAACAGTTCAAGACCAAGTCCCAAGGCCCCAGCCTGGACCTCAGCACTCTCAAGAGTAAGGCAGCCCAGAAGGCCCCCAGCAAGGCAACACTCATTGAGGCCAACCGGGCCAAGAACTTGGCCATCACCCTGCGGAAGGGCAACCTGGGGGCCGAGCGCATCTGCCAAGCCATTGAGGCGTGAGTGTCCCTGCCCCGGACTTGTGGGCAGTCTGGCCCCTCTGCTAGGCTGGGGTTGTCAGGCAGATCCTAGTAAAAGAGCCTCAATGGTGAACTCTTTCATCAAGCTTCATACCAACCTGGTCCAGGAACCTTGTCCCCATTTTAAGGTGGAGAAAACTGAGTCCATGCCTAAATTAGGATGTCCCACTTCCTCCCTGCCTCTTTGCCTAGCTGTGAGCACCCAGGCTATGGGATTTACAGCTGGGCGTCTTCCACTGATGTATGATGGGGACCCCGGCTCTCCGGTTCCCAGTTTCTCTGGATTCCTACCTCTTGCTCTCTGAAGCTGTTGGCAAATAGAAAATACTGAAATTCATTTATTCAATCAAGGCAGGGGTAGCCCTGCTCCCAGGGACTGGTGGGTATGGATGATGCCCACTCTCCCCTCTCCTCCCTCCCACAGGTACGACCTGCAGGCTCTGGGCCTGGACTTCCTGGAGCTGCTGATGCGCTTCCTGCCCACAGAGTATGAGCGCAGCCTCATCGCCCGCTTTGAGCGGGAGCAGCGGCCGATGGAGGAGCTGTCGGAGGAGGACCGCTTCATGCTACACTTCAGCCGCATCCCGCGCCTGCCGGAGCGCATGACCACACTCACCTTCCTGGGCAACTTCCCAGACACAGCCCAGCTGCTTATGCCGGTGTGGGCGGAGCGGGCAGGGCGGTGTGGCTTGGGTGGGGATGGGCAGAAGGCACCTCCCAGCCTGGGCTGCAGCAGGGAATCTGGGAGTACTTGAGCCTCCAGATGGAGGAGGCCCCAACTTATCTTACCTCCCCCATCCTACCCCTAGCAACTGAATGCCATCATTGCAGCCTCAATGTCCATCAAGTCCTCTGACAAACTCCGCCAGATCCTGGAGGTGAGGGGCCAGGAGGTGGGGCCCACCCTTGCCTGTTCTGGATAGTGTGAGGGGGAGACCCAGGCCCTGCCCACCTGCAATGCAACAAAGATAACGTTCCCACTTCTCATGTACATGCTGAGAAGGACAGATCTAAGGGGGGTGGTGAATGGGAAGGGGTACAGCAGCCGTGTCTGTAGCAGCTCACCTGGGACCCTGCCGGAGGGCTCAGTCCCCTTTAGCGTTGATCTGTGAGCAATGTCACCTGCTCAGTGGAGGGCCCAGGAACCAGTAGAAATGGCTGGTGGAAAGGCAGTGACCACACAGCCTAGGAGGGGATGCTGGCAACAGGTTTTGGGTTGGACTAGCAGAGGACAAAATTGGGTGTGCCCATGGTGTTAACTCTGCACATGTGTGAGACCTGTGTGTACACACGTACATGCGCTGTGAATCTGAGGGGCCTGTGCAGGAGTACAGTAGGGGCTGAGTGTGTGGGGCCTGCTCCTTGCCACCTCTTCTCCTCCTTGTGCAATATATTTAAGCAGTGTCCTCAGCCCTGGCATTCTGCTGAGCCTTTCCCCTGCCTCTCCCAGATCGTCCTGGCCTTCGGCAACTACATGAACAGTAGCAAGCGTGGCGCAGCTTATGGCTTCAGGCTCCAGAGCCTGGATGCGGTGAGGAGGGGACCCTGGCTTGGGGGCTGGGGCTGGGGACTGGCTGGTGGCCTGTGGCTTACAACAGGTCCTTGTGCAGCTGTTGGAGATGAAGTCGACTGACCGCAAGCAGACGCTGCTGCACTACCTGGTGAAGGTCATTGCTGAGAAGTACCCGCAACTCACAGGCTTCCACAGCGACCTGCACTTCCTGGACAAGGCAGGCTCAGGTAGGGGGTATATAGGTCCTTGGGTGCGGGGAGGGGCCGTGGGCTGGGGTAGGTTGGGAGAAAGCTAGGTGGCCACAGAATATAATTGGTGGGAGGACTGCCTCTCCGATTCACTGACCTGATACTGCCCCATCCCTGGCCCAGTGTCCCTGGACAGTGTCCTGGCAGACGTGCGCTCCCTGCAGCGAGGCCTGGAGTTGACACAGAGGGAGTTTGTGCGGCAGGATGACTGCGTGGTGCTCAAGGAGTTCCTGAGGGCCAACTCGCCCACCATGGACAAGCTGCTAGCAGACAGCAAGACGGCTCAGGTGTGCCAGGGCTGGCCTCACCTGGAGGTGGGGGATGTAGGAGCACTAGGTAGCCCAGCCTGGAGGGGTGTGGCTGTAGCTGGGACCCCTTGGGGCGATGCAGCAGGAACGAGGGGCCACCCTGCCTGGGAGAAGCTGAGATCAGGTGGCCAGTGTCCTGGGGGGCACAGGTTGTGAGAGGTCTAAGCTGGGGGGCTGACAGGCTGTGCCCGCAGGAGGCCTTTGAGTCCGTGGTGGAATACTTCGGAGAGAACCCCAAGACCACATCCCCAGGCCTGTTCTTCTCCCTCTTTAGCCGCTTCGTTAAGGCCTACAAGGTATTCGGGACTGGGGCAGGCTGGGAACCCTGTAGGGCACGGAAGCCTTTCCACTGGGCAGCGGAGGGGTGGGACTGCTTCTGTTTAGGGGGTGGGTAGGGCAGTAGGGAGGGCCACCCTCATGGAGACTGCCTTGGCCCGCAGAAAGCTGAGCAGGAGGTGGAACAGTGGAAAAAAGAAGCCGCTGCCCAGGAGGCAGGCGTTGATACCCTGGGCAAAGGGGAGCCCCCAGCACACAAGGTAGGACGCTGCTCCTGGGCTTGGTACTGGGCTGCAGGGATGCATGGCATCTCATCACCCTCGGGTGTCACCCCCACACCCTCACTGTTACAGACGGACCCTGCCCCAGGAGCCTGGGATGCGAAAGGGTTCTTTCTGCTCAAGCCAGCTGTCCTTGCTGTGGGGGACCAGGCAGATATTCCAGGGTTTTGGTGGTGGGGAAGCCTCCTGGAGCTGGAGCTATAAATTCCCCCTAGTCACCGCCAAAGGCCCGGCGGGCACAGATGGACCTAATCTCTGAGCTGAAACGGAAGCAGCAGAAGGAGCCACTCATTTATGAGAGCGACCGTGACGGGGCCATTGAAGACATCATCACAGGTAAGGGCTTGGCCAGGCCTTGGTCTTATTCTCAGCCTATCCTTCTATGCTGTCTTCTGACCCAATCCCCTACCCTCTGGGGGACTGGCTGCCACACTGCTTCTTGCTACGTTTTCTGTTTTTCTTTCCTTTTTCCTTTCTCTACTCTCCTTCACCCGCCCCACCCCCACTCAGTGATCAAGACGGTGCCCTTCACGGCCCGTACCGGCAAGCGGACATCCCGGCTCCTCTGTGAGGCCAGCCTGGGAGAAGAGATGCCCCTCTAGCCCCTCAGGTACCCAGATGACCTGGCCTCCGATCCCACGCTGCCCACAGCCCCCGGGACCCTTGGGGGAACTGAGGCATGCTGCCTTCTCCTGGGCCAGTGGATGGCTGGGATGTGATTTGCCGTTGGGGGCGGGGGCGGGTCTGGCATACATAAACGGTACCCCTGCCATGTGCACACAATCTGAGTCCTTAGGAGGCTATGGTTGTGCCCTGGAGCCATGCTCCCAGCTCTGGGCAGACTCCTAAAGGGTAAAT